ATGTATAGATATATTTCAATAAACATTATTTTACCTATATCATATGAGTACATTGCACGGGCATATTCTAGCAATAATAAAAAAATGAAAGTTTACTATGGATAATCATCTTTACCTAAAGGTTTAATTTGATAGGCAAGAGGCACAGAGGTTTGGTGTGCACAAGCTGCTGTACATGAAGCATTTTAAGGTGAGCAGAACTAACATAAAAACAATTTATTTAGATAAATTTGGCATAAGATTTGAGACTAACTTACAACTTACAAGCAATAATAAGCACAAGAAAGCTACTCACCACGCCAAACAAACTACAATCACTAGACCTATTTTCTCCCAAATGTGTATATATTTGCATGTATTCCTGCCTTCTTACTCTTTTCAAACAACTCTACAAAAGAATAAACAAACTACAAATGAATTTTCTTTTTCTTTAAGCTTCATCTGGACCTTCGTCTCCCATGCTTTCGTTCTCCTGCAACATGTTCATCAGCATGGATATCTGTTCTTGAAGCATTGCATTTTCTCTCTCTACGTCTGACCTTTTACTTTTCTCTTGTAAAAGCTGAAGTTGCAGATGTTCTAGGCATCGGGCATCTTCTTCCAACTGCTCATTTAGGCCATCAATTTCCCGGTCCTGCAAAATTAACGCTTTGCTGTTACCTTGCACCATCCGTGCAATTTGTGCCTATATGCGTGCACAGTGATATTGTTCTATACATCTTCCTTATCAGGTCAGTTGCAGACCCAATAACGCAAGATGCAATGTGTCATTTAAATGTATAGCATCTTGATTTATTAAGCCTCTGGCTGATAAGATATGTACATGTACTTAAGCTAGTGTTTTGTAGAAGAGATGTTAAGTCGAGGAAGTGACCTTTCTGTTCATTTCCTGAACTGCAATCCTCCTCATGCTCTCAACAACATCAACATTTACCAGCTTCCTCTTCTTTCCAATCAGCCAGCCCTTGGGATAGGTTGCAGCATCAAAATCTGGTGGGGGAAGTAAAGATTCAGCTGATGGGCGCTGGCCATTGAGATTTTTTATGGGTTCCAGTGGTTCAAAGAGAGCCTTCCGGCGCTCAGAAAGTTCAGAAGCTGTTGTTGGATCTGGGGCATTCTCTTGATCTGGAGTTTCTTCTTCCTGTTTGGTGGGTGTCACATTAGCAGTCTCTTCTGTTACCTTGTCTAAATTCCTCCCGCTAGCTGTCGGAAAGAAGTTAAATATTCTAGTTCCAAACTTCTTTAAGGTTACTCAATCTTGCTAAACAAAAACATACTCGCACTGTTGCAAATTTATTTACTGTTGTACATTAGATCCTCTACTTAGCAATTGTGCCTTCATCGTGAGGTTTGTAGCTAGATTTTATGACAAGGAACAATTTTTAAGAGCATATTGAAGATGTCCGCGTTATCCCACCGAAATGTTAGGTACCACTTAAGTCGAGATCTCCTAAGAAAGGGAGTCTGTAATATTGAAGGTAGAACATCCATCCCACATGTCCCTACTCCCTACTCCCCACATTGCGTGGCTCTATCCTTCATCCTTAAATTTAAACCATAACTTTTCAACAAAGTGCAACTATTTCAAGTAAAGAACCAATGAATAGATGATTTCTTTTTATTCTTTAACTATATTCTTTTTATGGTCTGACTGAAAGTTGCAAAGATGATAAACAAAAAAGAAAGAAGAAGAAAAAGTTGTAAAATTAACAGAAGTGAACTTAAAAGCAAAAATTATTTTTGGGACAAAAAATAAAACAAATGAATAAATCATCATGTGCTGGCAAATGATTAGAATGATGACAAGTTTGGTGGGAAGTCTGCCATATCCATCATGAACAGATTTGACATGAAAATGTCTCTCATTTCAACCCATTTACAAACCAAAAAAAGGCTTTTATATGAATGAAGGACAAAATATCAGTTTTGATTTAGTAACAATGTCTCTCCTTCAAAAGAAAAAAAGATCAAGCTCCAAAATCCTTTTCCAACTTATTCAAAAGCAAACTTAGAAAAGGAGACCTGAGCCAATTAGGTGTGACTGTTGGGTACAAGAACCTTCGTTTTCTCTGTTTCACTAAACCCATTGAAAGGATGCCACCATGAAGGGAGCTCAATTGATGCCTATCATTAAAATCAATGACTACTGTATTAATACTCTATTACAGCATCATGTTGTGAGACTCATGCCAACGGATAGGTCTAGTTAACATCTAGAGTGAAAGAAATTGTAAGAGGTAGTAGTTGTATTTGCTTATTTTCTTGTTAGCAAACCAACTGCTATGATTTAATATTGGGAATAGTTAGTGGATGATTAAGCAATAAAAAAATATGTTGGGCATCTGTCCAAAGTCAAAGCCAATCCAGAAATATCGACAAAGAGGCAGGAAAAACGTGCCGGTTCAGACTATCAACAAGAAAAATCAAAATAAACAGAATAGACGAGAAAATGAAATGATAAATATATGGTAGAAGAAAAAGATAAACTAATGAGAGGCAGAGAGGGAAGCCAACCAATCAGCTTTTAACCAAACCCGGTAAATTAACGTAGCAGCAAAGTAACCATATGCCACAAGTCATAAACAATATTGTCCATAATATGTTATTCTTAACTAATCAATCAAACAAAAACTTGAAGAAACAATGAAAAGATAAAGGCTTGAATCGAAATCAGGATCAAATAAAAACTGGGTCGACTATCCTTCCCTTCCTTAATTGATAGTACAATTTTCAAACCATGGAGATGAATGAATCTTAAGACATGAGTGATGGGTTGAAGGGAGTTTGGTCAAATCATGCAAGACACAAAAACCATAGAAAGGGAGTGAATTAAACATGTTCATCGGTTTTTCCAGTTCTTTTTTCATACTTCATTTCCGTAGAAACCAAGCAGAGAAAGTGAAAACAAAAAACTGACACTACCTGATCTCTTCCTGGATTTCCAGAAAATCCTAGTCGTTGAGACAGGAGAAAACCCTTCCAAAGCTGCTGCAGCTGCCTTGTTGTTCTCTTTCTCCATTGACAAAAACAAATAATTATAAACAAGTCAAAATATATAGAGAGGTATCCACTTCTTCTTTCTTTTCAAACCTTGAACACCCAAAACTCCCCAAAGAAGGAAAAGAACAAATGAAAAAAAAGTATGTCCTTGTTCCTCTACAAGTTGAGCTTTTTGCTTTTGTTGTTGGGATTCAGATGCTCTTTTAACTAGAAAGGGGAGAGGAAGAAGGAGATAAATTGTGGGTAATCATAAGGAAGAAGAGGGACCATCATCAAGGGTTTTTGAACGGTTAAGATTTGGAATTTCGGTGGCCGATTTCACGTCTATATGGGGCCTTGTCCTTTTCTTTCCTCCCCTTTGCTTTTATTGTCAAGCATTTGCCTTTTTTTTTTATTTAAATATTTTAATTACTTAAATTAAATTTCTGGGTGCCAAGGTGTCCTTGTATCTTCATTGTTTCGTTTATGTCGCAACCATATCTATTTGCTTTCAATTATTGCGTTGTTCTGTCCAAATATTACTTCCCAATTTTATTTTATTTTCCAAACGAAATATTATTTTGAAATAATTAAAAGATAAGTAAATAAAATAAAGAGTAAAAAAGAAATAATTTATGAATGATTAGGTTTGTCACCGTGGAAGAATATCCCTCGGTGGAATCAGCAATTTTTTTTTTAATTTTATGAAGAGAACAGTAGTCCTGGGAGTTTGGGCCTCTTGTCAGAATTAAATATCTTATTTCTTCTGGAGACAAAATCTCTTTTCTTGTGGTTATAATCTCCATGTATTTGGAATCCAAGGATTAAGAAAACTATATATATATATATACAAGTATGGGCCTCATTTGAATCGAAATGCTCAACTCTTGTCCAATCTAATAAAGTTGAAAGTTTGGGTTAAACATTCAAAGCAAAGGTTCCATCTTTTAATTAAAAATACTTGCCCCTTTTTAAAGTTGTTCAAGGAAATTGGGACTCATTGTTTCTTTTTATCTCATAATTGATCACGATCCAACACACCACAAATATTAAGATATAATGCTTAAAAAAAATTAATTATTTTAAAAATTTTTGAACAAACTTTCATTCTTTTATCATGTTTAATTGAATTCTTATAATTTTATTTTGATTCAAATAAATTTTTAAGATTAATTGTTAATTGAATATAATTAGTTAAAATATTATATCATTTTATATCAAGTGGTGTTAATATGTTATGATAGATGATTATATAAAATACTGATGTAGTATGATAACATTCTGCATCTTAATGTCACATGGACATAAGAAATGACAAGTGACACATGAGTGTAAGAAATGATAAATAATGTTTCAACTAATGACAGTTAATCGACTATTAATTATAAAAGTTCATCTAACTCATTAAAAATACAAGATTAGAAAACTAAAAATTAATTTACATTTTTTAAAATAATTTAAAAACTTTTTAAAATATTATAGCTATCAGAAATTTAGAGTTATTCAATAAGAATATGAATATCACCATCCTCTCATGCAATATTTTTTTTCCTTTAATTTAATTTTTATTTAATTGACACCTTTACTATTTATCTTTTATTATTTATTATTTATAAAATATTATCAATCAAAAGAAATCTTAATTAAAATGTTTAAAAATAAAAGAAAATGAGATTGGCAAAGCATAAAAAACCAAATCATTGACGATAAAACTAAAATAAACAGAATAAAAGGGGAGAAAAATTGAGTTTGAGACTCACCAGCTATTCATTTCAAGTGATAAGCTTACTTGAACTGATGTAATTTGACCATGACTTGAATGGTTTTATTCACTCTGTTTTCTTTCTGCCTTTGGAGCTCAAGATGAAAAGGGCAAAAAACATAAACTTTTTTATTTTTCCTGGTTAGGGTTGCTTTAGGAATTTTGGTATGGAAGGCCAGGAGATGAGGTGGGTCCAATCAATCATTGGCTATAGGCTGCGACTGTTCATTTCTTGGACTTTGGACCCATTATGGTGCCTTTTGGTTGGACCAGGAGAAGAGTTAACAAAATATGGGTCGAGCCTGGACAATTTGAAGCTTCGCCTTGGACAAATTAACTTTGCTGCCTATGTCCCAAGAAAGGGATCACAGAGCATGCCTTCAGTGTAGGGAGAAGTTATACTGGTCGGGCCAAGAGTTGACGAAAAGCGCAACTGTAAAAAATAGCAAAAAGAGCTTCAGCTGTAGATTGGACTTAGGTTCACAGTAAGCTGGCTAGCAAGAACAAGAGCAAGATTTAGGCATTTCCCAAGGTGTTCCTATATATATATATATATATATATATATAATGCAGTGAGCTATGGTTACAGGGATAGACAACAACCTATGACTTAACCTGCCGCTTCCATTAACGGAAGCAAGTTACATGATGAATACATCTTTATTTGACTGAAAGGAATCATAACAGAGAAGCTTAGAAAGCCACTGATTTAACAAAAAGAGAGAAAAGCATACATGAGAGACACAATGGAGGCAATTTCAGCCATTGAATGGTTAATTTCTCAACCAATGCGAAATGGAAATGCTTTGTTAATGAAGAGATGACACCTTTTATATACATTTCAAAATGACCAGGACCTATGCAGTCTATTGAATCAATTGTTGTAACCAGCTATGTACAATATCCGTGAAAATTTTTAAAAATTTTTAAGTACTGGCCCTTTCGTGACAAACCTATTTCATTGTCCTACAATTCTAACAGATATTGCCAAAACTTAGAGATTTAAGAGAGGTTGATGCACTAAGTAAATGATTGAGCATAAGTTAGCTCTCACTGATCACACAAGGAATGCAAGGTGGGTTATCAGCTTCATCTTTAGGGGTGATTCGCTCCAAGCAGAGATCATGAAAGCAGTGACCACATGACAAAACAGCAACAGGAGGTGGAAGAGTTGGCTGGAAAACCGGGCCTTCTGGTGCGTATGAAAGATCCCTCTTGCATAACAAACAATTATGTCCACTTGGTTGAAGAAGTTCTGAATCTGCAAAGAAAGCTCCTAATTATTGCTTCCTGTATTGTACAAGTTTTCATCATGTCATATCATTATCCGTAGCAGAAACCATAGTGAACACATGGTGCCATTAACTCATGTTTGCAAGCAAAATCAACCAGTGGTGAGCCAAAATAGGACAGATGTTGGTCCAGTGTGATCAGCCTATCAGATGTTTAAATTAGCATGGTATGTGGATGAAATAGAGCACAGGATGAGGCAAATCGTTGTGTTGAGACCAAGCAGGTTCTTGATAATACAACATTAAACAAAGATGAACAAAAGCATGAAGTTATATTAAGTAGAGTAAATTGAAGAAACAATATTTACATAAGGAAAATGTGGTTTAGTAAGTTAATATATAGTGAGAGTTTTTGAACATTAAACATGACTATAAAGGAACATTTTGGAAATGAACTAAGATGCTAGCACATGAAATCAAATAAAAGCAAGGGCCACGAAATACCTTGCCATTTTATATGGGGAGGATGAGACATCCTAGCTGAGGGAGGGACAGGAGCAGTCCATGTCAGTGGCGCATAAGCAGGAGTGACCTGGGACAATGATGGTAGAGGAGGACCTTTATAAGCTAAGGGTGGGAGAGTACGAGCAGTCAGTTTTACAGGTGGAACAGTAGATGTGGAATGAGCTAGTGATGGAACAGGTGCAGCTAGGGATACTACTGGTGGGAGAGGTGAAACAAAAGGAGCATCTCTGGCCCTGTTTAAGGTAGATGAACGAATGGAAGGCTTTGCTGATCTTGTCTTCTTCATTTGAACCTGAGGAGTAGCTGGAGGGGATTGGGCTGCTTTCCTCTTGAGAGATGGTCCAGCAAGAAGGTTAGCATGTCCACGTTCCCTTGAAAATGAAATTACTTGACCTGTACCTGGTAAAAGTAAATGTGTAGCAGTCAAATAAAGTTTATATTCAGTCAGTCTTCTAAACATTTTATTAAGTACCAGATGTATAAACGGGGAACATGCAGATTATCGGAAGCCTGAGGAGTACTATTTTGGGATTGACCAAAATGCAAGCAGTCATCAAGAGCTATTACAAGCACATCTTGATCAATAAATAAAATGACTTGGTCGATGGCCTGAACCAGCCTAAGTTTTCTTGGACTAGTTCCCCATTCACATTTAACCAATATTACATCATCAAATTGTGAATTTCTGTGTAAATCAGTTCAAACATACCCAAATATTATCATCACAGTTTTAGACAATAATTAATGTGTTGCCAGGGAAAAAAAAGACAAGAAAACCATTACTCCTTTTTTTTTTAATAACAGGATCTTGATCATGACATTTAATCTTGTGAACTTCCAAAGTGATCAATGCATTTAACCATTTAAGTCTTATGTTATCTAAGTCCTAACACAGTTGAGGATTTTATCCAGTCAAATAAGTATTACGATATCTAGTCCAAACCGACCATGCAACCAAATCAGTATCTTTAGCCTCATCAACTTCATTCTCATGACAAGGCTGATGAATCATTCATTTTAAATATGATTGCTAATGGAGCAGCATGATGAGTGCCCTTACTTGAGGGTTGAACCCCAATATTCTTAAAAGATGGAGCAATGCTAACAACTTCAGCAGCAGTTCCATCACTAGCGGAAAGCTTATCTGCAAAGGATGCACAGTCACAGTTTCAGCAAGGATGCTGTAGAGCAAAAATACATAGACTTCTTACAATAATAAACACTAATCATATTTGGCCAGAAAAACAAAACAATAATCAAACAACTAAAAAGACTTCCAAATAGCATGAAATTCCTTTTTGAGGGTGTAATGGACTAAGGAGTTTATAAAACAAGTAAGCGACATGAACTGAACTTATGAAAAAGCAACAGTAACAAGGCAGAAAGAATTGACGAAGTCAGAATGGATCTTAAGGCCATGAGAAGGGGCAAAGAATATCTAGTTAGAGAAAATAACAAAAAACAAATAAACAGCAGCTTTAGTTGCCAGAAAATGTCTCTTGGGAAAAAGGTAAGGAAGAAATACAAAATTTTTGTCATTAAAATTATAGTATTCTGTGAACAAGGCCTTGGTCCATTGGTAAAGGAGAATCTATGCAAATTCAAATTGTAATGCCTACGTAGAAGCATCAAGAGTACCACTACCAGAATTCTTGGAAAATGGAACAGTGGTGGAAACTTGAGAAGCACCTCCATCACAGGCAAAAAGCTGATCTGCAGGGGAAGTGCAAGTGTTCAGCATAGAAACTATAGAACTAGAACAAAAGATGCCTTTTTTTTTTTTGTAATCAAACAACTAAAAACACTGTCCAATAGCCAAAATTCCAAACTAAGGTATTTGAGACTCAGGTCAAAATTACCAACATGATTTGACCTTGTGAAAGCAGCAGTCCCAAAAGGGAAAAATTTTATTTGAGTCAGACAATCTAAAGGATGCAAAAATAGGGGAATATGTAGTTAGAGAATATCCTGGTGTAACAAAACAAGAAAGGACCAACAGATTTAATAGCTAGAAAAATTGTACGTATAAATTCAAAAAAAAAAATGTTATCTCTGTTATTTGTAGCTGTTCACAATTATAGTATCTGTCCTCTCCCCTCTGTACGTTATCTTTGCATCCAATTTAAGGATTTCACATTTTCAGAAATTGAAAGAAAAGAAAAATTTAAGAACATTCTCTTCAATAATAATTTCCGATTTACCACCACCAGCCTCTCAGAAAACTATAGACAATCTCTAAGTTCAATTGAGAAACAAATTGCCAAAGATAATATTAATACTAGTATATGGAGTTTAATTTCCTAAATTAGTTGCAAGCCAATGTCATTTTCCAAAGGCTACCAATATTTTTCAAATCCACAAGCATACAAGAGTTATCTCAATTCGGCTGTCCTCACTTAGTTCAGAAAACTCTCAACAATCAGTAAGTCTAGAGAATTCCAAAAATTGCCAGACTACGAATTGCTGATCCTAGTTAATTAACATTGAAGCCAAAACAACAATGCACAAAGACAGTAGAAAAGCAATAAGGACCAAATACCCAACATGATGTTAGTTTTTGGTCTTCAAAAGCAATCTTGCACCACCTAAAAAAACATGTAAAAGGTACAAGTAGTTCTTGTTTATTTATTTATTTAGAAAAAGGAACTAGATAAGGTGTTTATAAAGACATAAGAACCATTGAAACCCTGGTGACAAAGGTTTTCATCTTTGGAAATTAGAGCAGTATAACCATTAGGACTAGTTGCTAATAACTGAATAGACCTTAACTAACCAGATCTTTCGAGAACCTGCAGTAACCCCTCAGATGCAAGAATGAAAAGTACTCATAAAAAAGTATCAGCTATGCAGTCCTCTTAGAGCTGTTCTTTTGGTTTTTAAAAAATAGAAATAACAGAAATATGTAGCCTTAAATTTAAAGAACAATGAAAGCCTATGCGAAACTCCATAAGGGTAAACAGCTAATTACTGATAGAGCAGGTTTTGCTTTTCCAAGGTAATAAGTCTTCCTAACATGAAAACAACTAAACCATATCATTGAGCGGGTGGGCACAAAAAAATCCACTCACAAATATGACTAGATTACCATCTGTCCAAGCACACAAGCAGAAACAGCAAGGCAATTTCATCTAAATTTTGACAGAAATAACTTAGTGAGGTACTGTAAGCAAGAACTAAATGGAAACACCTTCTATCCTCTTTGAAAATGGGGCATTTTCCACAGTTTGATTAGCACCACCGTGGTGAGCTGGATAATGTTGCCATACAGCTTCAAATTCAATCAAAATTCAAAGAGGTTAAATACTAAAGGAAGCTGTGAGGAAAAAATATTTAATTCCACAAATTTATGTAACCAATGCAGGCAGATATTCATTGCCAAGGACTAACAACTGAGAATGAACTATCAGCTAATTTTCATTTTTCCCAAAAGCACTTGCAACTATATTTTTAACCATTAGTATTTCTTATAACGCTACATATGAACATGAACCAAACGGGGTACTCCTAGGATGAAGGGCATGTTCTAAGTTAACATTTTAAAGTCTAGGATCTCAAGAAAGCATTGAATCATATTATTGAACATTTTCTCAATTCTTTCAATTTGTAAAAGATTCACATTGTCCAAAGAAAATGTTGTGCTGACTATTGTTGGTCCAACCCATAATTATCAGCCTAACAACACCTTTCTTGCCCCTGTTGGTCAAAGTTGATTATACAGGACCCAGCATTAGGTTCCATCCTACTTGGGAGTAAAGGAGGATAGATTAAAAGGAAGTAAATGTTTCATTCTACCCTACTTTAAGGATCCAAGTCCATAGGGAAGGCACGGGATTTGGAGCAGAGAAAATAACAAAAGATTCTCAGAGAAAACGAACTCTTTAGATTCTCTCAAATCCAAGGTATTTGATGGTAGGGTATTCTAATTTAATGATGTCAGTGTGATCCCGCAAGCTTTCAAATTTAATTTCATAATGATTTCAAAAATCCAGGTTTAGCGGTAATGGCATATATGCTCTCTGCTTTTACTCCACTCCATTCCGAAACAAGGTAAAGGAGAGTGATTCTCTTCCACTGGTCTACTTTACTCTCTTTAACCTTCAAATCTTCAAACACACTGTCATGTTTTCGTCCTCATGTGCATTGGAGAATCATATTACCAAATAGACCTTACTCTTGTTTTACTACTCCAATTAAGCCTGTTTCCTCAAGACCACTAAGTCAATTTATCACTTTTAGCGCTTGAAAATTAATTTATAAAAAAAAAGACTTCTGTAATTTTGATGGAGCATTCTTCACAATTGTCTGACTTTACATTTTATTCATTTAATTTTGAATTTGTTACACTTGTATTAATCTTCAGCTGTCCTATTAAAAATGTTCTTTCCCAAGCACAACTACAGAAGCTATTGTCACCATCATGCTTTCAGCAGTTACCTATTCCCATGTCAAAATAATCACAGTTTGTTGTTTCTGCTTCCTTCAGAAAACTACAATTTAACAGCTCTACATTCATGTTATATGTGTGCTTCCCTGAATTACGAATAGCATGTAGAAGAGCTCTTAATATTACTATTTTACTTCAACCAAGTAGTCATGCCTTAAAATGATGGTCATAAGACTACATACACTCTAGCTTTTGTCATGTCATTATAAGCTCATCTGTGGCTCAATGGCTTCCATACGGTCAACATAATGCTACATAAAAAGCGCCCCTGCTATTCTACATGAAAAAAACCCACAGTAATATTATAATTCTCAGGTGTTCCTTTTATACAAACACCTTATTGTTCACATCAGCATTCACGTTTTATTGCCCCTTAAATTAGCTCACAGCATAGATTGACAAAAACAGGTATATTTCCAACTATAAAAGATGAGTTGAATGAGAAATCTGATACTAATGGACTTCTCTCTTTTATTCCTATAATTTCCCATGTAAAGAATAGTAAGTTGCTATATCTTCATAATGGAACATCATATTTTGATCTTACATAGATAAAGACTCTCACCACTCTCAATTATGCAAGCTCACCTGGTATATCGTATTTGTCTTTGATTTTAATAAAGTAGACCTATGAAAACAGTTTTAGCAAATTATAAAATAGAAAAGGTAGCATCAGAGAAATTGAATTGGATTTGACAGAGATCTTAAAGCAATTTCATCTAAACAAAAAATAGATGCTGCTAACGGCAAAGATTCAAAATCTAGCCTTGAATTTGTGCATCACTGGATAAAATAATGAGGAATTGTGGAAAATATAACAACAAATTTGAGAATATGAAAAAAGATTATAATTATAAAGTAAACAAAAACTAACAGTAAAGATTCCAGCTACTTAAAGTATTGATGTACTAAGATCTCTGTGGTTATGATATGATTTTCCATTTTGTTTTAGTGAAAAGTTAAGTTAAATTCAAATATTCGTGGATCTAGTGAAGTATTGTGCTCAGTTTTTATACACAAAATGGGCTGTTGAAATATTTATAACTCACCTGACTGATACTGGTTGCTGGTGCTTTCCATGTTTCCAGGAACAGGAGAAGCCACAGATGTACCCCACTGGAAGCTAGGTATACTTCCCATATTACATTTTTGTGGCTGATCAGAGGCCAATGTAGCATATTTGCTAGTCATGTAAGAAGACAATGAAGGCCAGGGAGACATTCTGTGCTGTGCTTGAACAGGCAGTCCAGATTGCCTGCTACTATGCACTATTTGTGATTCACAACAAAGACTATGAAACCCTTCATTAGGAGGCAGTCCAAATTGGCTACTACCATGAACTATTGGAGATACACCAGAAAGACCAAGAAAGCTTTGATTAGAAGGCAGTCCAGATTGGTTGCTAATATGCACTATGTTTGGAGATACACCAGAAAGACCATGAAATGGATCAATATTTGCAAATCCAGCACAAAATTTCTGATCATCTGCTGTAAGAAGAGGATGTGAAATGTGGCTTTGTGGCATTGGTAACATTTGCAATGGACTTAAACTAAAGTTGGAGCTAGTACAATCAGAAACTCCAAGATGATATTCAGAAAGGGAGCAACTGTCTACATTCTGCATTGGACCAGCAAATGCACTCACATTAGATGATTCACCAGCATTCTGCACTGTACCAGCAAATGCACTCACATTGGATGATTCACCTGCATTCTGCACTACGCTGTGAAGTCCATCTAAATTATGCTTTAGACAGGATAATCCAACTGCGTTCTCTTCTATGCTAGAAAATCCACCAGCATAGGTTTGATTATCAGATAGAGCAACTGCCATTCTAAAATCAGGAGAGAATGAACTTTCATAACCACTTTGCACATGGGAGGGATTTAACTGCATTTTTATAGGCCCATCTATTTTACCAATGAAATCTCTGCTTGAAGCATTAGCTTTTGACCTGGACTCTTTATTAACTCCAACTCCTAGAGTCAGAAAACTCCCATCTAGAGTTTCTGGGTAATCAGATTGAACCACACAGTCCACCAAATTGCTATTACTCTCCATTTCCCTACCATCTTGAGCACCACATGACACAGGTGCCCTGCTTCCACGGCTCATGAAGTTTCCAATTGATTGGGGCTTACTATTATCCACTTTGGCACCTTGCATGCCCATTTGTAAACCTCCAGTATTAGTGGCTATATTTTCAAGAGTTGAATATTGGGAAGGCACATAACCAGTCCTGTTCATAACATGAGGGTGAACCATGAAATTTTGATAGCTGTCAAGCTGGGATCCATGAATCATCCAATCAATACCCTCTAATGACAAGTCTCCCAAATGAGAAGAAGGAGAGTGTGATAACTCATTTAAGGGTGCATCAACTGTTACAACACCAGTTATCCCAGTAAAGCAGACCGCTTCATCACTCAAACTTTGGAATCCAATTTCTTCAGTGTTTTGTAATTGGGGATTGAAGGTGGGTATCTTATCTACATTGTTCGACTTTCCATGTCCCATATTTGTAGTCTGTTTCGAATTTAGGTTAGACATAAGTGACTACTACAAGTGTCCTTTCTTGTTGACTAAATTCGCCACTCTTATTTCTAAATTCATCTAAGACAAACATAAAAGCTAACCGATAATCTGATATAGCAGAATTTTATATCTTCAACAAATAAATCAAATGGTAAAACAAACTAGGCAGAAACAACCACAAAACAAAATAATAATAATAAAAAACTCCCTAACATAAGCCTTGAAAATGTAATTAGAAAACCAATTAAGTATAACTATTGATTAAATTTTTAAAAATCTGAACCTATAAAATCCTTAAAAATCATTTCAGGAAAGTGTAATTTCTATAAACACAAACACTCAGCCATAAATCTTGACATTAAGGGATTTAACAAATTATGATAAATTTGAACAATTCTTTTTATTCAAAATTTTGAAATAATCAAAATTTTGGTATCAGCAACCCAAACGCCACAAAACCCAATCTCACATTAGAAAGAAAAAAAAAATACAAAAGTACACACACACGCACAATTAAAATTCAGTATGCACAATTCAGAGAGAAAAACGACTAAAAGTACACAGAAAGTTTGAAAGAAAATAAGTTGATTCCAACATGAAATTTATTAAAGGTTTATATAGTGAGAGTAAACTTCTAAAAAGAAAATTAAAATCGTAAAAAAATGACATAATTTAGTATTCGATCCAGAAACAAGAAATTAAAGAAAAAAATTAAGATAAAATAAAAATGAATTATGAATAGGAAAAAAATATATTTATGAAAATAGAGAGGAAATTGAAGCGTGAGAATTGGTAGCCTTAAACTCGAGGGACTCTTACCGGTAAAGCTGAGAGAGAAATGGAGAGAGAGGTTTTTTTTTGGGTGGTTTTGGCGCTTTAGGCTCTTTTACAGGTTTTTAAAGGGTTCGGTGTGGGCCCCACGTGTATTCTCTCTACTTGCCACGTTCGCTTTTCTGGGGCCCGCTTTCCCATCACTCTCTTAGTGATGAGCTCCGACTCCAACATCCAATCGAGAAATGACAGGTGGTGGAAGAGTCGTGGCATTTTCGTTATTATATCCAAAAATCTTGAACTTTTGCATGAGAAATCAGTGAATATGAATACGTGGCATGATCAGACGTCGTAAGAAACAGAAACAGTACTAGGCTTAGATGTAGCTGAACTAGCTTGCGCCTCAGGTAGATTTTCCCGCCTTTAAAATTTCTCAGAACGGTGAAACCGGCTCGGCTGAGCACGGCTTAGCTTGGTGCCCGTTATTTTAATTTGGAGTAGCTGACTAGGTCTCCACTCTGCACTGTACTGTGGGAATTTGGATGTGTTAAATATTAAAAGAAAAATGGAGGAAAAAGCAAGTTTATTTTTAGATTTTCCCTCGTAGGAGAGAGAAGAAATGAAAAAAAAAAAAAAAGGAACAAGAAAAAGCATCTTCGACCTTTGTTTATTTTTTTCATGTTGAATGGGAATATGGTATTGGGGGTAGCCTTTTGGCAATGGTGGATGACACCATTGCTTATAAGATGGAGACTTGGAGACACAACTCTATTATTTTTTTGTTTTGTTCTCATTCTCCATAACTTTTAGTGTAAGAATAGAGTCTTTCCTTTTTTTTTCTTTTTTAAAAAAAGAATATTTTGTGAATATAGATTAAAAACTCATGAAATGTATTATAATATTTGTTAGGCATAATATCTAAAAAAATTCTTAAATTATTTAAAAAAATTAAAATAAGTTATTTTTTTATTACGTTAAATCAAGTTATTGTATTTTTATTTTAAATTAAATAAACTCTTATAATTAATAATTAATTAACTACTGTTAGTTAAAATATTATATGTCATTTTAAATCATGTGATGCTAATGTGATATATTAATATGTTATTGTGGATGGTGGTGTTGCATATTGACATGATATTATGACATGATCACATAGTATTTTCACAGTATATATCAGTGCCATGTAAATATAAAATGACAAGTAGCTTTTTCACTAGTGACAGTTAATCAATTGTTAATTAAAAAAGCGTATATGGCATAAAATATAAATACATACACTTGACTTAATATAATAGAAGAATAAAAATTTATTTAATTTTTTTAATAGTTTAAAGATTTTTTAAAGTATTATACCTATTAATTTAGAATTACGTGAGTTAATTTTCACTGACTAAAGTTCCTACTTTCGAAATAAAATATATTTTAGCAACTTTGAAATTTGAAAATGAAATCCGTTATGTTTATTCAATTTTTTGTAAGAAAAAATATTGTAATGACCAATAATTGTTGACACAAATAAAAAAAACATAAAAATATCTTAATATGGGTTTTAGTTAGATGAGCAATTAGTCAGTTTTCTTCTACTAATATTTCTTTTCTTTTTAAATTATATAGCTTTTTAATAATTTAAGTTCCGTTTTATTGTTATTAATTCATTTTGTATTTCCTTTTTGCTTTATATTCATTCTAACAAAGAAAAAGAAAGGAAACAAGTAAATAATAAAAAAAATTATTCTAGTAAAAGTAACATTTCCAGGACTCAAAACCCCACATCACCAGCTTAAATAAGGTGTCATTAATTACTAACTTGAAAATTTCTCACCAAAAATATAGTGAAAAATTATTAATTCATCAATAACGTTTAAGATCCTTTATAATAAATTCTAATTTTGACAACTTATTAACTTATAACTTAGTTTTACACATATGTGTGTGTGAAAATTGAATTGCCCTTTTACTTAAAAAATCAAATTTAATTCTGTTAATTTGTAATTATAAAGTAATTTCCACAATACCTTTTTATTTTTATGTCTCTTTATATACTAAACGAGTATTTGTTGCCACATGCATTGCATGTGAATACTATTTTTAAAAAAAATATAAATTATGTATAAATAAAAGTGTTTTTAAAGTGTAAAGTTTGAAGTATAAAAAATTGAAGTTTTATAATAGTACTCTATAAATTATTCAATATTATTAGAATTAAGAAAAACATATTTAGTGAAAGTCATATATTGCAATTCAAAATCTTATTTTTTAAATTGGACAAATTTTATTGATATTTATAATATAAATATATTTTTAATAAAAGTCGTTTGATGCGACTAGAGTTTAATTTACAAATTGGATATATTTTATTAATAATTATGATAAAAAATATTAATCTAATTTTGAATTAATCCCTTTACTTTGCTCAAAATATTGGATTTAGTCCGTCTACTCTAATTGATAGAAGTCTAGTTCATGCACTTTTAGATGTTAATGCTAGTCCAATCGTTAAAAGTACTGGCCTGCCATTTACCAAGTTGATGGTGTTGACCATGCTAACATCACTTAGTTAAAATCACTCGTCTAATTGAATATGTATCGATTCTAACATCTATTTGGAGTTTCTCTCTTTTAATTCACTACTCTTTAATCCTAATTAGTTTGGTTAACTAATCACCTTTTATTTTAAACTCTTATTTCTTTCTTTGTTGGTTGATTAATCTTAGTTACGTGCCTCAAAAGTTGCATCATATCTAGCAGTTTGGAAAGATTAGAAATTAAATTCAGAATTTGATAAAAATATATTTACAATGATAATTGAAAAATATAATGAGTAAAAGAATTCGATTTTTTCAATCAATGAATTTTCTAACATATATATATGTGTGTGTGTGTGTGTGTTATAGACACAAATATAGATCATAGATGTATATGTGGTTTAAAAGCTATGAAACTTTTGTAAAGACACTATTACATTTTGCTTTTGCTTTTGCTTTTGATTGAATTTCAATTATATCATTTTGTTATTATTTAAAAATAAATTTATTTAATTAATAAAATTCTTATCATGTCAGGCAAAAAACAAATCTTCAAGAAAGTGTTAACTTTTAAAAATTAAAAATCTCATTTCTATAAAAAATAATTATTAGAATTAATAATATAAATATATTTTGATTACAATTGAATAACTTTTAAATAACATTATCTTTAGTAAAATAATTAAAATAATAATAAGGTTAAAGTGCAATTGCACGTTAACTCATTCCTAGTATTCGTATATGGCTTCAAAGGTGTAAAATATTTGTGAAGATTCTACTTTTCTTTTGCTTTCAATTAAACTAGAATGATACCTGCATTACTCTTTGATTCTTATACAAGGGTAGAATTGTAAAATTCTTGGTGAGTTTAAGACAATCTTTGTTTTTGAAATAATTAGTGAAGTTTTCTTTGAAAACTTGTATTTTAAATGGTCTTAAGTTGATTGGAATAAAGGAAGAAAGATAGAAACAAAAAAGATGAGTTTTGGCAAAGAAAATGTGTTCTGCTACAAAAGTATCTATACCTAAAGGAAAGGTATCGATACTTAGTGACCAGAATGCCTTGGAAACTATTCTGTGTAAAAAGTATTGGTACCTCAAAAAGAAGTATTAATACTTAGTGTTCAGAATGCCTTGGGAAAACATTTGTTTTCAAAGTATCGATATCTTACTTATAGGTATCATACTTAGTGTTCAAAATGCCTTGGGAAAACAATTTATGTTCAAAGTATCGATATTTGACTTACAGGTATTGATACTTATGTGTAGAGTATAAAAAGGTGGCCCTAGATTTAGTAGCTCCGTTTCTCTCTCTCTCACCCATTCTTAACTCTCTTTTTTCCCTTTATTGATTCTCCTTACAAATTGCCTAAAATCACTTTAACCCAAGCTTTTAATCTGTTTAAGGTGGGTTTTCAACTCCTTGAACCTTTCTATCAATGGGTTTTTCAAATTAATTGCTCTTTTTAAAAGAATTCCATTTTTCTTTTAGTTGTTAGGGTTTTTCAATTGATTTTCTAGAGGTAAGCTCACCAAGGCAGGTTCAAGTTAAAGATTGAGTAAATTCTGCAATGACTTATGGTTTGGACAAAGATTATGAGCTAAACTTAGGTGTGAGAGGATGGGTATGCTATGTTGAGAGCAATTGTGGGTGGAAATTAGACTTGTGGAATTTTGAGAAATTGATTATATTTATTTGATTGTTTTGGGTCCCTTTTGAAACACCAAGATCCCCTTGATTTGTCCCTTTGTAATTTGGCACTTAGACTTGGAAAGGTGACAATTGTGTGGTGAGTGGACTTGCATTTAAATAATTTTGATGAAAATATATGGAGTGTTTGAATATAATGTTTTTCAGCATGTTTACTATTGAACATTTCAAAATATGCATGAGAACAAGCTTTGGACATTGATGTCCAATTGTTGTGAATGGAATATGTTAAGTATGGATGATTAGATATTTCAAAATGCTATGTAAACCATTGTTATGGGATTGAGCATGATGGCTCAAGCGAAATGTCCATTGGTGACAATGTGAAATGAGAACATGATTTGGGACATGGCTCTATGGAATGTAAATGGTTAATATAATTGCCTTAGCTAGCAAAAGGGGAAATGGTGCTAGCCATGTGTGGTGGAGCATAGCGTATGACTTGTATGGACGTAAGTGGCTATATGCATTAGACCATGTATATATGTTAGCTTTGAAATTGACTATAGCTTTGAAATGATAAAATTCAATGATCTAAATGTGCTTTAGAACCAAAAAGAAATGTCTTTGAAATGGAAGAACATTCTCCTAAATGTTTTAAAGCTATTTGTAAAAGATAAAGTCATTTAAGTGATTTAAAAATGAGTACTAGTAGGAAAGAATCTACTTTTGAAAAGTGAAGTGTCAATTCTCATAAAGCAAATATTCTTTTCTGTGTAACAAGAAGAAATTGAGTTGTCAAAAAAGGAACCATCTATTCTTTGGAAAAATAAGCACAAGGAAGAGGTGCTGGATAGAAAGAATCGACTTCTCAAGTTTTCAATGATCGATTCTT